TTGGCCAACTCCCCTCAGTCTGCATACCGAGCATGACATCATACAGTATGGAATAGCCCTTTGGCCATTCGGGGTCAGCTGTCCTGGCTGTGCTCCCTCCCAGCTTCTTGTGCACCTTGCAGAGCATGGGAAGCTGAAAAGTCCTTGACTAGTGTAAGCCCTACCTAGCAACAACTAAAACATCAGTGTGTTATCAACATTATTCTCATCCTAAATCCAAAACACAGCATTATACCAGTTACTACAAAGAAAATTAACTCTATCCCAGCCGAAACCAGGACAGCAGTATTACCAAAGTGGCACTTCCTTCCAAGTGTCTCCATGTTGGCATTGATTCGCTTTAACAGAAAACCTTGCCTTCTGAATACAGAAGGAAGGACATGAGATTTCAACACATCACGTATATACACTCCTCCTCCTGTTAGTCCAGCAGGAAAACAGTCTATAGGTGCAATAATATGCCACATGAGAAAACATAACCAGTGAGTAGCAAAATTTATGCCGAGTAATACTAGCCTTTATCCCAGCCCAAAAAGGTGCCTAGGCTGGAAATTCAGCTTGACCTTCGCATTGGCCTCCTTGCGAGACCTTCGGAAAGTGGTGCCTACTATCGGTACCAAACATCAGAGCTCAGTGACAGCTGCCAACTTGTTTGATTTCCTCTCAACCTCCGCAGACCCGACATTTCTCAAGAGAATGGAGGAACAGTAGGGTGGCTTCTGGGATGGCCTGGAACTCTGGGACTGAGCTGTGCCTGTAGGGTGATCCTTCAGACCTGGGAGAAAAGAGTGAGGTGAAGGCACCTAGAGGAAAAAAAACCCAGATATTTAAGAGGACAGGGCTCCAATAGTACTTTGATGAGGACAGGAGTAGTTGGGCTGGGAAGAAAGGATTTGGACATGTATCCCTAGTGACTTCTTTCCCAGGAGGGGTTACATGAATTCACTTGCTATTTGATAGTGGAGCCTTAGCAGCTGCTGTATTCCAGAGAGGAGGCTAGCTTGTTTCTCAGTTTGCCTGTGCATTTCCACCCAGGGCTGGCAGGAAAGAACAGACTGAGCTCCAGCTAACTCGAGCTTGGGACAAGCTTGATTCTCCCTGCCCCCAGGGGAAAACATGAGCCTTCAACAGCAAATGGCAAAGATAGACAGACCAGGAGAGAACTCTGGGCCTCAAGGCAAGTAGAGGACTTTTTGTCATTTCTACTGGAGCTGGAGAGAGGACAAAGCTGGAAAGGACAGGGGGACAGTGTGTGGAGGCAAACTGTGGCATCTGTGGGCATGAGACCTGCTATCAGAGCAGCCTTTCTTCTTCAGCACTGATCACATTTCTCCTGGGGTCATCTATGTGTATTGTCTGGGAAATCATCATTCACTAAGCATTTCTGTTTTGGCCAATTCACCTCCTCTTCCAAAGACAATTCCCAGGGATGAAGGAGTGAATCCTTTCAAACTCATCCCTCACAGAAAACATGCTGGACCCCTGCCCAGCCCCTCTGAGATGTTTGGCCCTGCAGGCAAGGGGGAGGTGGGGCCCAGTGAGGAAGGAAGGAGGGAGGGCAGATGCAGGGTTGCTTGTCAAAAGGGAAACTCTGCTTGGGCAGCGATCAGAGAATTTCTGCAGCTCCCTGACCCTGCTGCTCTTTTGGAACAGACACTTGGATCCCCATCTCCTGCTGGACTTGTTCCGTAGCACTACACGGTTAGCCCCTCATGGCCAGGCACTTCAGGGCTTTGCCCACTGCCCTGTAGTGCTCTGCCCAGGGACAGTTCTAATGGTTGTGGAAGCCCTGGGTTGATGTCCTGCTCTACTCCATGCTTGTGCTGCGAGGGTGTGAGCTGGGCAAGGGGGCATTGCTCTTTTCTAGCTCCCCAAGGCACAGCAGGCTGGGGGCAAGCACTAGCAGTGTGGGATGGCACATGGGTCAGCCTGGCCCCAGAGCCCAGCCCCAGTCCCCCCATCAGCAAGAGAGAAGCACCCCTTAGTCTGTGGGGCCAGGGTGTGCTGGGGGTCCTGGACCCAGACTGCAGAGCTGGGCTCTGCCTGCGTTGCTCAGTGTCTTGAGAGTCTGATGAACCACTGTCCCTATTTGTCAGAGGGGATGATTCTGAGGAATGTCTCCAGCAGTATGTCCTGTTTCATGGGACAGATCAACCAGTGCCTCAGAAATGGCCCCTCAGAGAGATGAATGCATCTTCCCAGATATGAGATGAGGCCTCATCATGGTCATCCCTGCAGAAGAGTGCCTGGAATCCTTCACCCAGCTGTCTGACCATGAGCACTTGGCTTTTGTTGTGTTCCTGACTCTGGATTTTTAGCTTTCCGGCTTTCCGGCTTTCCAGCTTTCCTGACCAGCCAGAGGGGTTAAGGAGATTCTCTTGTTGTGAACACGTTTTGGAGGAATTGAGACTGCCCTGGAGCAGGGCTGCTTGAGGGACCTCTAATGTTGGGCCCCGCATGACAAGTCCAATCCCCTGCAAAGCTGCTCAGCCTGACCGTGGTGCTTATATTTGGCTGCCATGTGGAGTACAGGTTTGAGATTTGATGCTGCTTGGCTGGGTCAGGACGTAAGGTTTCACTTCCAGAGACATCTCTCTTTGCAGAATTGGTCACTATACTTTGGTCCTTGAGTCTTTTCCTGCTGGTTTCATATCTGGTTTTAGCTCTATGATAGATGAATCAGTTTATAGCAGCCTGTTGGAATGGATCAGGTGTTTGGTGTTTTCCTGGACACAGCATGATTTTTTTCTTCTTTTCATAGAAAGGACTTTAACAGTATGTGGACTGTGAAAGGCCTTCCTTTTCTGGAGAAATGAAAGAATTGTCAGTCAGACCGGACGCCTTGAGAGTGCTCAGCCAGCATGGAGGGACACAAAGAGAAGGACTGCCCTTATGGAGGCTTCTTGCTGTTAGATCAGCTGAGGAGAAGCAGCATCCAGCCCCTGTGATCTGGGTCAGATTTGTAAATTGCTTACCTGTTTCCTGGCTCTATGTATGACAACAGAAATGCTCTGCTCAGTGGTATGGTGGGGGAGAGAGAGGAGAGAGAGAGAACTTCCTCATCTCTCAGGAGGTTCAAGCTGTGCTGGAGAGAGTGCTGTTAGCAACAGTTCCTCTTTAGAAAGACACTGTCCTTCCCTCTGCTCCTAGCAAAGCTAAAATTTGTTCCAAATATTAGCTCTTCAAACATCAAATACAGGCTTTCTGAGATGCCAGTAGAGGACTGCACAGGAGGGCAAAGGGTGGTACTTGGTGCGGCATATAGAGTTTTGAACATATTGGCCTTGTGGAGAGATAATGTATCAGAGTCTTCCTTTGTTTTATTTGAAGCAAACATAGAGGCTCTATGAAACTACATGTAAGGCTTCTGATCTGCTTGACAGGCAGAGAAGTTGTAAAATAATCTTAAAAAAACCTCCCCTCCCCATTTTTCTCAGGTCCATCCAAATTCTTTCAGTAGAAACATCAAATAAACTGCATCAGTTATGCTGAGTCTTATTTTGCAGAGATGCCTTAGTAGGCATGTCTACTTTAACTGAAGAAAAGAGCAAATACAATCATTTTCTTCTCTTCAGTTCTGCAAACTCTAAAAGGCATTTTGCAGAATATTCAGTCATCTTGATAATTTCTTTAGACCCATTTCCCAACTTACGAACTTTTGGGTTTTTGTTTGGGTTTGGTGGTGTTTTTTTTGTTTTCCCTATATTTAGGCACCTGCAGTCAGGTTTTGATCACACCTTCCCTTAAACTTTTTCTGCATGGGATATTTCTGTTTCATACATATAAGGAATTGAGCCTCTCTCCCATCCTTAGCCCACCCATCCTGCCCCAAGAAATAGATCCTCTTTTTCCTCCTCTTGTAATTGCTGAATAGTTTTGAAGAATCTCAGACAAGCTTGTCACAAGCCAAAACCATATTTCTATATCCTAAAGAATGTCCCTTCATGCACTTTCCCTGATCATCCATTTTATCTCATAAAAGATGTTTGCGTTTTTAGTTTTGAAAGAATACAAACCAGTGAAAGTACACTTGTGTACACTTGCAAGTTTTCAGGAACAGTGAAGAAAGTAATTGCACAATATAGTCATAAGTGAAAAGCAGTAGGGTTTTCAAGCAGACAATCCTTAGAGTAAAAATTAAGCCATCAGTAATATTATCAAAACAGAGCCAATGGATGCTTCAAGGGTTGTAAGACATTTGTTTAGCAGAGTTGGACTGAATGGGACTGGGTTCAGCCATACTTATCACACAGAATATATCCAGCTGACAGAAAGTAACGCCAAAACCAGTGTAAGTAGAGGGTGAAGAGCAGTGTATATAGAAATGACGGTGGGGATGAGCACATTTTCTCCAGTATAATACCATATCATCACTCTCAATGTTTGGTTGACATGTTTCCTGTGCAGGTGTGGGACTACATCCTAATGCTCAGCCTTTCCCTAGTGAATCCTGGAACCTTTGTGGTTTGCCACTGAAATGAAGCCATACACAATAAAGGGTGAAGGAATGTCCCCTTTGGAAAGCGTGTTTGTGGCCAATACACAGGCCATATTCCACTTTTCAATAAGCCCCTTTCTGGCTGCATGTGGAAACTCCTTCCAGGGTTTTGGCAACCATTCAAAAAGGAATGGCTGACTTTATCCATATACTAGCATGTCACTTGGTGAAAAACCCATCTGCCACCTTGATCTAGGAGCACTTCACTCTCCTGCACCTGCGGCCAAGAAAGTGCAGAGCTCGAAGCAGAGAAGCACTGTGGGTAAAATGAGAAGCGCAGTGATCCAGGCTCTGTAGACTAACACATTCCTGGAAGAACTGACACAGGAGAGCTAGCAGTGCCTCTGGTGGCATGGGGATTGGCCCCAGAAGCATATAGATTGCAGCCACTGCCCTGTAACTGTCAGTGAGTCTCTTCCCAGGGTGTGCCTAGTGGCTCTCAGAAAACAATTTGTTGTTGAACTTCTGCTGTTTTCTAGGGTATCATCTTTAGCATACTACGATGGCAAGAGAGAATACCAAGGAATTCCTTTTGGAAGGACTGGAGGACCTTATACTGGATATGTTTGAGAAGTTTAAGTACAAATTATCATATATTGATTATGATGGGATGGCCAATCTCTCCAAGTATTTGCTCAAGAAAGCTAACAATCCAGTTAAACTTGCAGACTATGTGTGTGACCACTATGAAGCTCACCTTGCTGACCTTGTAGCTATCTATGTGCTTGAACAGATCAACCAAAGAGACACTGCAGCTAAACTCAAACAGGAGAAAGGAAAAGGTAAAGGAACTTGGGTTACTGGCACTTTTGTATCCTTTTTTTTGATTGTTCCTACAAAATATGTAGAAGAACCTTCATCAAATAGAGAGAAAGCAGATCCCAATCCCCTGTGGAAGTCTGAAAACCCAAAGGACCCCAGGGTACTGCCTCCTTACGCCTGGCACGACTCTCCTCTTGCCATTGGTCTTCCTGCTCATTTAGGTGACTGCTGCCACAATCTCTGTACACTCTGCAGGACCACTTGCTCCTGGCCTGTGATGTAAAGATACTAGAGTCTTCAGAGACACTTGCTCTGCTGCCTTGTCTGCTCTGCCTTGCCCAAGGTATTTTAAAGGAGTTTCTAAAGGCAAGATGCCAAGAGGATTGTTCTCCCTACCTGATACACATCACTGACAGCCTCCGTAGTACTACTCCGCTAACAGCTACATATAATTTCTCTTTCAGCCCTGCGACCCAGTCCACCCCTTGCTTCATTAGTCCAAGATATGTGTCATTGCGATGATTGATAGATGAGTTTGGGTTTTATCGCCTACACACTCCACCTACTAGTAGAAAGTGTATGATCATAGCCATGGTCCTGAAGCCCCAGGAGGGTCAGAAGGAAAATAAACAAGTAGCTGTTATATGGCTGGGGGGGCGGGGGGAAAGTGTACTGTTATAGAGGTGAGTAGTAGAAACTGATTCTTAGGACTATTTTCAAGTTCAGCTGAGGTGTGATTGCATTTCAGTGATGGGTGGTGGGCATTTCAGACTTTTTTCATCTCAGCATCGATAATAAAATTGGAAGAATAAGGCCTACTGAATGATCCACAGATCCTTTAAAATGAAAAAGATGAGGTAAACTCAAGGTACAATAATGTTGCATCTGAAATGTCTTAATTTTAGCAGGAGAATGAACATCATTGACTTTAATTTCAAATTATTTTATTGCATATCCTTGATTTAGATTACAAGATGAAGTACAGAGCACATGTACAAAAGAATTACTGCTGGATAAAAAAGATTAATGCTCATATTGGTGAGATGGTGACTCTGAACTCCAGATATACAAGGCTGGTTCTTGTTAGTGGACATCACCATGAAAAAAAGAAAGAACATGAAATCATGGCTGTAGGATGGACACATGCAGAAATCATGCAGGAACAAGTCAATTCTTCCATTGCTATAAGTGATCTTTTTAAACCTGACAGGGATAGGCAGACACCAAAGAGTGTTGTGATATTGGGAGCTGCAGGAATCCAGAGGTGTCCCGATCCAATGTCCAAAGGGGGAGTGAGTGGGAACTATAATCCCCTGCCCCTTTAAGTCCTCCAGAACTGGTGCGATTCCATCCCTGGCTCCTATCAATAGTGGGTAGGGTTTTAATTTGTCAGTTTAGAAGGGGGGAGGGCAGGCGCTGTTTGCAACAGGTGCACCTCCGCGCTGGGAGCTTCGGCTAACCGCCTGATCTGGGGGACACTGAAAGATCATGAGTTTCCCTGGATGTTGCTCCACTGTCTCCCCTTTAAAACATCTATGCCTAAAAGATTCATTTGAAAAGATCCTATGGCCACCATAGTATTAACAGGGCCATCCTCCCCTGGTAACCATAGTGACACTGGGGTCATAGGTACCGATTGTGTTTTTCCCAGAGCACTTGAAAGAATCAGGTTTCTAGAGGGAACCGAGATCCTGCATCATTCTGCTTCTGTTTGCCTTAGTGCAGTAATTTGCGCCCCCGTGTCGATTAAAAAGGTTACTGGTCTTTTCTTTGGCCCTACTGCTACCGTAAGCAGCAATTCTCCATTTGCATTGCAGGTGAGTTGTCTTATGAACATCCACCCTCCGCCCTCCCCCTCACCTTCAGGGGGCGGAGGTTTTAGTTTTCCGCCGCCTTTCCTTCCCCGGATGGTTTCTCCCTAAAGTTTATCAGGGGTGGGGTGCTAGGAGTTGGCCTCGAAATGGCCCCTTGCTCTGACCATCTCCACACGAGCTGCTCAAATTTCCTGGTTGGAAGCCCATCCATTAAATCTCGGGGAACACCTTTCTGGAGCCCCAGTTGCCACATTCCCTGTCGACTCAGGGGTTTTCCTTTCCCGGTCGAGTCCCGGCCCCTCTCAAGGGGTGATTGCTACCCACTAACTCGTTCTGCCTCCTGCACAGCCCTGGTCTTGGTTCTTTGGGGTGGTCCACTAACAGGGCCGTATTTCCTCCCAAAATCGATTAACTCCTGAGCTACCTCCCCCCATGTTCATACTTTCTTCCCTGGTCGCCAGTAGTCAGGGGTCATTATCCCCTCCCGAGTGCCCGCAATCCTTTCTTCCCTGGGGGTGTTATAAATCCGCCCTAGCAATTGGATCCCAAAAGGTTTCAGGGAGTCGGGAAGTCCCCGTATCAGGGGAGTCATTCTCTCCGGGTCTACAGGCATTAACATTGGGGAGCCCAGGTTGGGCTTGAGCTCCTGGTCATGCATCATCTGAAGGCACGCTGCCTTTTGCACACTCCCTACTAATTGATCTACCGTGCCCATTATAGCTAAGGGGTTTCCCCTTTCCAACGGGCTCAACCCCCCCCGGCCCAATACGCGGCTCTCTGGGCGACCATGGGGCTCAGAGGTCGCCCACAGTTAAAAACACGTCCAGACACCAATACCCTTCCGCCTCATTTTCCGACAGTAAGATCCCATCCCCCCCAGACAAAGACACTCTCCACATGTACTTAGTCTCCGATTCCTTTGTAGTCCTAGCAAAGTCCTTTCTCACCTTTGCTAATTCAGTTGCGGTAAATGGGAACTCCTTAGTAATAACTTGGGGACAATTGTCACCATCGTCCTCATACACATACTCCGTTTTGATCAGCGGGTACATGTGGGGGAAGCTCTCCACAATCTCTTTGGCTCTTTTCAAATCCCCCTGGGTATCCTCTTCTCCACGAGTGTTGTTTCTACCCCCCGCGGTGTGTCTGCTTCCCTTAAAAGTTGATTTCTCAACCCATTTTTTAATATCACATTTTGGCGCCTCTCCTCCTCCAACAGTTCCTGCAGGGTTTTTATTACTGTTTGCAGGGAGTTCACCACCGTATCCGTTCCACAAGACCTCTGCTTTTTCTCCTCCACCACAGTGGCCAAACTCGCTCCTAACACAGCACAAATTATAGCCTTTCCCTTCCCCCTCTTAACCTTAGCCTCCTTCTGCAATATTCTTATTCAATCCACCACACTGCAACTGAAGCCAGTGTTCCCTTGCCCAGTCTTCTTCCTGGGGCGAGGGGCGAGACCGGTGCACCTCCAAAAGGTCATTCTCTGTCCCTTCATCCAGCGAAAGCACATGGTCACAAACATCGGCTGCCTTTCAGGTGGGCATCACCTACAAAGGGGATATCGTCCTGAGAGGGTCACGCTTCAGTATCCAAGTTTCCCCTATGCGCTCCCACGAGGCCAAACCATGTGCTAAGGCAAAGGTTTCCACAATGAGGCGGTACGGCACTCTCGTCTCTAGGGATCTTGTCCGTGACGCCAATTAAATGTCACAATCCAATGTCAGGGGAGGTTCCGATACGATCCCAAGGACGAGATTAAAACGCAAACGAGGTTAGATGACATACAACCCTTTCAGCTTTATTCTCTCAAACAACAGGACAGTGATAGGACAGAGAGAAGGAGGAAGGGGAGAGTCAGAATGCCTAACCAAGAAGAGGAGGAGATGCGATAGGGATAGCTACCACCACCATCAATCCAGCGATGTTCCGTGGGTTCACGCCCCGTGTGGGCAAGTAGCCAATGTCCTCAGAGGGAAAGGGAGGAGCGAGGGCCAACCAGCAGCCCCCAGGAAGGAGCACGCAGTCCTTTTATAGGGGGGTTCGCACATGCACAGTGCCCATTTTTGCACGTGCGGTACGTGTCATCCATGCTACGTGTGGCGGTCTCCTTTCCTGCCAACCCACACGCAAACGCAGTTTGGTCCGACAACTCCTCTGAAAACATGGTGTCAAGGTCAGGAAGTGGGGGGGGTGATGCAACAGCGATGTTGAGACAGACATAGTCCAAAGCAGTCCCTTACAGGAAGACAATGACAGTAAGAAAGATTATACTGGAATGGGCATCAGAGAGACTCTATATACAGTTTAACTATGTTTTCTACATACATTGTCGGCAGGGTAATCTTCTTACAGGTCGGGGGAGTATGGCTGACATGATCTCCAAATACTGTCCCAGTGATAACCCTCCTCTTGTAGAGATCTTAAGAAGACCAGAAAAACTCCTGTTTGTCATTGATGGCATTGATGAACTGAGGTTTTGTTTGGACCAGCCACAAAATAACCTGTGCTCTGATCCCTGGGAGATGAAGCCAGCGGAAATCATCCTGAGCAGTTTATTTAGGAAATTCCTTCTCCCTGAATGCTCCCTGTTGATCACAACAAGACCAACTGCCCTGCAGAAGCTGGAACAGTGCTTGGTATGTGAACGCTCTGCTGAAATACTGGGATTTTCAGCAGCTGATAGGGAGGAATATTTCCACAAGTTTTTTGAAAATAAGGAAGAGGGAAAGAAGGCCTTTCAGTTTGTTAAAGGAAATGAAATGGTCTTCACCATGTGCGTTGTCCCCATCATGTGCTGGATCGTCTGTACTGTTATGAAACGACAGCTTGAAAGTGGTGAAGATCTTGCACAAACTGCCAAGACAACTACAGGAATATATCTCCTTTATGTTTCCAGCTTACTAAAATCTCTGAGCAGCAAGTCAAAACAGAACTTGCACGTTACCCTGAAAAGACTTTGTTGCCTGGCTGCTGGTGGGATCTGGAAGCAGAATCCTCTTTTAGGAGGAGGCAATCAATGAATTCTTGTTAAATTAGAGAGACACTCTCCCACTTTTTTTTAATGAGAGCACTTTTCAGAAGGGCATTTTTTGTGGGAGTGCCTACAGTTTCATTCATGTGAGTGTCCAAGAGTTTTTTACATCTCTATTCTACATACTAGAAGATGATGGTGAAACAAGAGATAAGCAAGAAGATCCTAAGAAGGATGTGAAAAAATTGTTAGAAATCTATGGAAACTCAAGACATGATTTCATGTTAACCGTGCGGTTCCTATTTGGTCTCTTAAATAAGGAACGAAGAAATGCTTTGGAAAAAGAAACAGGGTGCAAAATTTCTCCTGAAATTAAGGAAGAATTACTAATGTGGCTTCAAACTAGCCAAAAAAAACAGCTTTAGCTGTTAATGCAGAGAAAAGAGCAGTGGAAGCTGATGATTGATGATTTTCCATGATTTGGAAGGTTGCCACTGTTTGTATGAAATCCAAGATGAAAGTTTTGTGAAAACTGCATTGGGTTATATCACCGGAATATATCTACGAGACATCAATTTCACCCAATTAGATCAAATAGTTCTTTCCGTCAGTATAAAAAAGTGGCCTAAATTGGAGTCACTTGACATGGGCTATTGCTCCTTTATCTCAGAAGACCATGAAGAATATTTAGACCAACAGCTAGCAAAGCTGTCACATCTGTAAGTAAAATCCTAGGTCCTAAGCTTACAAATTCTCTTAGCAAATGAAGGAGTTTCAGTAACCAAGAAATGACCAGCTTACTTATCAAAACATTAAGGCTAAACTTTTCATAAAGTGAAGGTGCAATGATGAAAGCTGCTTTGTGATGAGCCTAATGGGATGTTGCACTAGTAATTACTGGTGATAGTTCAGGATTAAGCATATAAATACAAGAAGGCATGTCAGCTAAGTGTCTAAGTTCCTATTGTAATCAAAGAAGACCAGCGTCTAAGTCATCTGACATTCAGATAGTCACCTGCTGGCTGGTCAAATGAGATCACTCTGTAGTCACCAATGACTGAACTTAGGAGAAAAACTATTGACTTTGGTGAAACTAGCGAACTGTCTGGCTTCCTTGTACAGACTGACTTAGGATGCATTAGTCTCAAATGCAATCCCATACAAATACAATCCCAAGCAGGGTTTCCTGTCCACTTGCCCTCCTATTAATTGTTGGTGTTCTTGAAATCAAAGGCCTGAAAGGAAGAAGTTTTCACTGTTTGCAAGTTTCAGAAGCAGGGAGGGAGCCGCCCATTCAGCTCTCCAGTGACCCTTACAACTCCCTGAGAACAGAACCCGTTCCTATGCCTCATCTTGAACCCACTTCAGTTAAGGTGGGTGAAACAACTTCTTTGATAAGTCTCTCTGTTTACCAAATGCTGGATCCTGAGAAGACGGGAGGTGGTACCTAAAGCCAGTGAAAGCCAAGGGGAGTTTTCCCCTGAAGGCAGTACAGGCCTTTGCCCTTTGTGCACAGCAAAACATAGCATACTGTTGATTTTTGGTTTATGGGTACAAACCTCCTTTCCATGTTAAGGGGGGAATGATTTGAGTGTTTAGAGCTCAACTAACATCTGCAGTAAGTGATATCAATTTGCTTTTCCGGTTCTTTTCCTCAAGGTATATCTGTACCACATGATACTATAATGTAGGGTATGAACTCAGCTTCGTCAGGTATCAGGAGCAAAACATCTACAATGAGAGGGAGCTCTGCCAAAGCGCATTTGTCCTTCTTAGAGCTATGTGATACCTATGAAGTGCCCAACCAGGTGATTTTTATGGAGGCAGCAGAACTCTGAGAATCCTAGTTACGGAAGGGGCAGACAGCGCCAGCAGCCCAGAGTAACTCTGGGGGCACTTTCCAGCTCTCTGGGAACAGACCCCAAATCTGCACAGGTGTGTTTTGCTGTGCAGGCAGGACTATGCACAAAGTTACTGTAATAATCCAAGGATCACAGTTTCCCAGGCTTCTCTAACTCTATGGCTTTCTGTGCTGTAGTGTGCCAACATAAAGAAATTTTGCTTAGTCCTCCTGTTACTATAAATGAAAGACCCCTACCTGTATGAGGCAGCTCCTTCTATTTTAAGGTGCAAGCAAATGAACAATTCTTGCACTGTGTGTAATGTACCCTTTACTTGTGTCTGGCATTACTCTGTCCCAGCTGCAGAATCTGGCATTTGTTCTTGTTAAATTTCATGCCATTGATGATTTCCCAATGCTCCAATCTATCCAGATCCTTCTACAAGGCCTCTTGTCCCTCAAGAGAGTCAACAGCACCTCCCAGTTTAGTAGCATCAGTAAACTTACTTATGGTGCATTTAACTCTTGCATCCAGGTTATTGATAAATATATTGAACAGAACTAACCTAGAATTGAGCCTGAAGAACACTGCCATATGTAGCCCCATTCACCACAACCCTTTGAGCTTTCCCATTCAGCCAGTTCTTTACCCACCGCACCATGTACCTGCTCATTTCAGTTGGACAACTTGTCCAGAAGGATACTGTGAGGGACAGTCTCAAAAGCCTTACTAAAATCCATAAAAATACATCTACCACCTTCCCTTCATCCTCTAGGCGGGTGACCTTATTGTAGAACGATATCAAATTAGTTAGACAGGACTTTTCCTTTGTGACTCCATGTTCAGAATATTAATGTATATAAATACCTGAAGGGAAGGTGCAAAGAAAGAGCCAGCTTCTTTTCAGTGGCGCCTACTGACAGGAATAGAGGCAATGGGCACAAACTGAAACACAGGAGGCTCAGTCTGAGCATAAGGAAACACGTTTTTACTATGAGGGTGACTGAGCACTGGCAAAGGTCTCCCAAGGACGTTGTGAAGTCTCCATTCTTGGAGATATTCCAAAGTCATCTGGACATGTTCCTGGCTAACTGGCTCCTGTGCTTCAGCAGGGGGGTTGGACCAGATGACCTCCAGAGATCCCTTCCAACCTCAACCATTTTGTGGTTCTGTGATTCTGTATGGCTTCTCTTAAGTGCATGGCAGTATAAGGAAATAAAGTAAGTTCCAGTGTTGAATGAACCAGAGAACCTTGTGACAAAGGCCAAGGTACTCAGTGTCTTGCTTAGCCTTGATTTTTCACTGGTGAGATCTATCCTCAGGTCTCCTAGACCCCTGGATATGTAGGCAAAGCATGTGGAAATGTGATATTTCCCACCATAGAGGAAGATACAGTTAGGCAGCACTTTAACCATTTGATCATATGGGACCATGGAACCACATGTAATGTATCTGAGGGTACTGAGCTGGCTGGCCAATGTTGCTGTGAGGTCACATTGTCATCTTGGAAAGGACATGGTAATCATGGGATGTTCCTGGTGACCAGAGAAAAAGAAACATCACACCCATCTTCAAGAAATAGAATGTGGTTCTGTTGAAGGATCTGGGGGTCTTGGTAGACCTCAAGGAAGGACAAGAAGATCTGCTGAAAATGACCTTGGAGCCTTTAGTCACAAGCTAAACAGAAGTCAGAGTGTGCCTACACAACAGAGAAGGCTAACAGCATAGTGCACCATATTTAAAAGGAGCAAAGGAAAGAGATTGAGTGAAGTGATTATCCCCTTTTACTCAGTGCTCAAAGTGCATCTAGAATACTGTGTCCAGCTTTGGGCACCCCAGTGCAAGAAAGACCTAGACAAACTGAAGTGGATTCATTGGAAGGCCACAGAAATGGTCAGGGAGCTGGAGCAGCTAGCTAGGTCCTCTCCTAGTAGCAGGAGGTTGTTGACTGGATGAACCCAGGCTCTTCGTAGTGGTGCCTGATGGGAGAATGAGATACAATGATGACAGGTTGAAATAAGACAAGTTTAGACTACATATGAAGAAAAACTTTCCCACAACTGAGGACTGTCAATCATTGGAACAGTTCATCCACAGAATTTGTGAAATCTCCATCCTTGGAGGGTTTCAAGATGTTACTGAGCAATCTGGTCTGACCTCATAGTTTACTCTGCTTTGAGAAAGAATTTGAATTAGATGAACTTCTGAGGTTCCTTCCAACCTGAATTATTCTATAATCCTGTGATCCTAAGGAGAGTTTAGAAAACTGCAAGCCAGTCAGCCTCACCTCAGTCCCTAGGAAGGCTATGGAGCAAATCAGCCTGAAAACCATGTCCCAGAGCATGAAGGCGGCGGTTAGGAATGGTCAGCATGGATTGACTGACAGAAAATCTCACATGACCAACCTCATTGCCTTCTATATTTTGATGACTGACTCAGTGAACAAGGGGAGAGAAGTGGATGTTGTTTGCTTTGATTTAAGCAAGGCCTTTGGAACAGCCTTCCAAAATATCATTGTAGCAGAATTGCTGAGATAGAGCTTGGTAAGTGGATGATAAGATGTACAGAAAACTGGCTAGACTAGTGGGCTCAAAGATTATTGATAACCTTGATATTGATGTGAAATCCCAGTAACAGCAGACTGAAGGTGGCATCACTCAGGGATCAGTACTGGAGTCAATACTGTTTAAAGTCTTTTTTTTAACAGTTTGATGGTGGAACAGAATGTGTACTCAGCAAGTGTGAGGATTGTTAGGAAGGGATTGGCAGGATGCAGATGCTGTCATATCTGAACTACATACTAGCATGGCAACTCCAAAATCAATCTGTCTGTCCTGAATGTTCCTTGCTGGCCATGTCAAGAGCTGCCTTCCTCTCAGTCTCCTGTCCCTAGCACCCTCATTCTTCTCTGGTCCTTCTGATGATTGTGGTATTGCTTGAACAATAGGCTTTGGTTATTTTTGTGATTTAGGCTGTTGCGATCAAGTGCAGGGCTGAGCAAAACGCATCTCCAGGCAACACCAGTCACATGACTTACACATCTTATTAATGCCTTTCCCATTTCTTCACTCTCCCTTTCACTGTCAATTTTACTCTCTTTCCTTTTCCCATTCAACTCCCAGTTCCTATTCCCCATCAGTCTCTGTTTTGCTACATGCATCTCCAAATTCAGTATTTCTTACACTGATGCAATTTCAGCCATAAATGTTATCACTGATATGGGCACCTAAATGCTGTTAGCTTTGTAAGACTCTACTCCCCAAAAGGTCTCCAAAGTTCCTCTCCAGTTATCTGTGAAGTTCAGCTATTTCTGACATGACTGTCATTTAACCATATATGAAATCCAGCCATCTGAGTCATGAATGTATATTTTTCCAACTTCTCACACTGTTATCTATCATGTCTGAAATTTCTGTTGTCACATCCAGTAGCTCATCCTGTTCAGTTAGATAAACCTCTGGCCAGAGCCAATTCAACAGCTACTTGCCTGCAGCACTAACATGAAAGGTATCAGATTAGGAAGCAGGCAACACACTGCAACATAGCGTTGCCATTCAGAGACACCTCATCAAGCTAGAAAACTGAGTAGACAGGAAGCTCAGGAAGCTCAAAGGCAAGTTCATAGTTCTTCCTCTGAAATGAAAACAAATGAAAAACCCAAACAAAACCAAAACAAAACCAAAAAAACACCATACACTGGGATTGGCTGAGGGCTGCCTGGCTAGAGAGGAACACTGAAGAAAAGGACATGGGGGGGGCCTGCTCAACAAGTTAAGAGGAACCAACAGTGTGCCCTAGCAGCAAAGAAAGCCAGACACATACTGGGGTGTATTAGAAGGAATGTAGCCAGCAGGTAAAGGGAAATGATTCTTCCCCTCTGTTCAGCAATTGTGAGACCTCATTTTGAGTAGTGTGTCCAGTCTGGGCTCCACAGGACCAGAAAGACATTGACACACTGGAGAAGGTCCAGAAGAAGCCACCAAAATTTTCAGTGGACTGGAACATATGGCATCTATGAGAACTTGGTATGTTCAGTCTGAAGAAAAAAAAGGTGAAGGGTAGATCTTACCACTGCACTAAAGTAGTACAAGGGGCAATGACCATAGGTTGCAAGAAGAGAATTTCCATTTAGATGCAAGGATATTTATATTTTACTTACTGGTATCATGAAGGCGGTAAGAGACAGTAACAGGGATCCAAAGAGGTTGTGACATCTCAATTCTTGGAAATACTCAGATCCTGAAAGCTCATGGCCCTTAGAAATCCTGCTCTAAGTTGGCCCTGTTTGGAGCATGGGGTTGGACTAGATGACCATCAGAGGTCCCTTCTCTCCTATGTCACTCTATGACTCTGTAGTTCCCTCTGTGGGATAGTCACAGTACTGCACTCACAGGTGTAATTGGCACATGCTTCAGTCCAGAAATGTTTTACTGGCTTTATCACTTCCATCCCCAGACAGCTACATCCCATTCCTAAAACTATCGCTCAACAGCAACCTCCTCTTAAGATCATTGTTAATGTAAGGATATGAACTATTTAGAATTAGATCTTTGCTTGTGCATGGAATAAGACCTGAAACTGGAGACAGAAAGCTCTTTTACTTCCTGTCTCCCAGGAGAGAGGAATTAATTTCTTAAAACCATGGGGGACCTACTGTGAACTTTGGTGGTTTGTGTCTCCTTGCAGTGGAAAGAATGCTGTACAAAGAAGTCTCTCATGCTGAAGAGGGCCATTTGTAGGCAAGGATTCATTAATCCTTGGGTCAAGGATCCTTGGGTCAAGGATCATTCCTAGAGCTACTGAGATGCTTTCTTCAAAAAGACACAGTCTTGCACTGTGCTCTGTGGCTGAGAAGGATAGCAGAAGCCTCACTTTTTTTCCCCCTGAGGTACAGCCCACTGAGCTCTACCTACTCAGCTTATCCTGGTGGAGCACTGTATGTGTCATTAATGCACAAAAACCTTTTTTTTTTTTTTGTGCAAGGGGCCTTAGGTGGGTGGAAAGGCTCAAACTGTTTCTGGCCTTTGTCTTCCCACTGCCCTCCTCTGACAAACTGAGGACGGTGAAGGCAGCAGGCAGGGAGCAGGGAAAGTAAGTTTAAAAATATATGAAAGGTAAGGATATCTAGTTTATGAGGATATCTGGTTAATGGCTCCTGTTCAGGAGAAGGATTAGGCCTACAGTGTTAATCATGTTTATGTGTTTCCTGCTGGTGTATATATGGATGTGGGTAAAGGCACTGCTTTCTGAGTGTTGGTGGCTATGGCTGGCCCTGCGTGTACTCTGGGGATGGGGCACCAAAGGTGACAGGTTTCAGCCTTTTTTAACAGAGAAGTTATGGTTATGGTGGCCAGTTGGGAGAGGAGTGTTTTGGGGACAGTATGACGTGCTTGTCTTTGTTGTTCAGGACTCTGGAGTTTAAGACAAAAGGGAATATTTAAGGTAGATTTTAGAATATTCTTCTTTCTTTCTTCTCTCTAAAGGCTCAGCAAATATGAACTCAGTGAAGAAACTCATCGGCAGCTGGCTCACCTAAAAAAAGATCAAGCCTAGCCTGAAAATAGGGTATATCTTTTAAACAGGACTTTTGCAGCCTAGGTATCAGGCCTCATGGCTCTGACACTAGTGTAGCACATGGGTTAAAAGTTAAGAAGGGATCAAATAAATGTTTGTTCCACTTTCAGGATCCTCCTTTAATGCCAGTAACAATGCTGAGCATGTGAGGCCTTGACTCGCCACATAGTTTCAGGGCCAATCATCCTCAGGAAAATAGGATCTGAATTTTATCCAAGTGCAGTTCAGATAGATCCCCCTTCACAATCATATCTGAGTGGGGAAGGAATCAGAGTGCAGAAAGAAATGGGACAGAGATGAAGCAAGCAATAAGGATACAGATGAGCCCAGGAACTTCCTTCTTTCATACTCCAGTGATTTGGGGTTCAGTGGACTTGCGTCAGATGCCAAGAAAGATATTTCTACACTTTCAATGGCTCCTTTGTGAGGATTTGTATACTCATGACACTTTCTGTAGGTTTGTCTTATTTCACAGTTCTCAAGAGCATCATTTCTGTCTCCATTTTGACTATATATTTGTCAAGGATGATGTTTGTACCACTATTACTGAATTCAAATATAGTTCCTTTTGCACTGTGACATCATTCCTTCCTGTAGTCAGTGTTAATCTCAGACTATTGTCCAGTAATCAGGGCCAGGGCAGTTCCCAAGGATAGTTCCTTTGGCTGAGCTAGAAAGACTTTTCCCCACTTCTGTGGACACTCTGGGATTTCTCAAGAAAATTATGTAGGGGGCCACATATGTCCCTGGATGCCCAAAGAAAAGTTGACCCCCAAGGTCCAGAACAGGACTGTGAGAGATAGTGGAGGGATTAAACCATTTCCACAAGAACTGAAAGCTTTTCTTTTTCTGCCATGCTATTGCTTGTTGTGTTGTGGGGTTACATTTGAGAAGCATTCCTAAAACAAGAAATGCATATGCATGGCATGCAGAAAAGAACATTTGTACCCATTAGAGTGTACAAAAGTTTGGGCCAGCTAGCTGTGCCAAAAGATTTATGTGGGAGGCATCACCCCAAACAAAGAAATCAGCATCCAGAAAGAAGCTGAAGAGGAAGGAAAAAAAATGAGCAAGCACCTACAAAGTGTGTGAGGAGGGAGAAGTTCTTGAAAAGTCTTCTGTAAGCTGAGTGAAAGTGCTGAGCTCTTGGCAGTTGCCTAGTCTTCCAAAAGGTGAAAAAAAAAAAATGTGTGTA